GCCGCCGCCGCCGCGCCCCGCCCGCCCCGCGCTGCCCCCGCCCGGGACGCGCCGCCGCACCGACACCCTCCCCGCTCCCGGCACCGAGCAGCTCCCGGCGGCGTGCGGGGAAACGCCCCCCGGCCCCGCGCACCGAGACTTCTGTCCCTGAGGTGAGTGAGCGGCGCGGGGGATCGCGGGCAGGGTAGGCCCCGCCGCGGGCTGTGGGAGGTGTGTGTGTCTGGGGGGGTGACCGCTCAACGGTCGCCGCGCGGAGGGAGCGGCGGGAACGGCGCGCGCCGCGCGGAGGGAGCGGCGGGAACGAGGCTGAGCGAGAGGCGGGAACGGCGCGCGCCGCGCTGAGGGAGCGGCGGGCTCGGGGCTCGGGCTGAGGGAGCAGCGCCCCGGAGCCCCGCTGTGCCCTGCGCCGCCCGACCCGCCCGCGGGCTCGGCCCCGCTCAGGGCTGGGGGGTGGCGGCTTTTGTTCACCGTCACCTTGGCGGCTCTTCCGCCTCGCCCCGGGCGGCGCGGGGGCGCCGGGGAAAGGCGCCCCCAAGCCCGCGGTGCTCGGTGCGGGTTGCGGCGCTGGGCCCTGCGGTCCCTCTCCCGGCTCGTCGCGGGGATCGATCGCCGTGCAGGGCCCTCCGCAGGTATGTGGGCTTCGGCACGGGCAGGGGGCCGCTCCGTCGGCCTCGCTCGGACTGCGGAGCCAGCCTTAGCTTCGCGTCCTCGGCTCGGCGGGCCCTCTGCTCTCCTGCAAGTTAGGACTGCCCATGACAGCGCTGGCTCCGAGGGCTCCTCCAGCTCTGCAGACCTCACCCTTCTCCGCTTCCCCTTTCCCCATTCATAACCTGGGCTGCTCTGTTTTCACACACAGTAATATGGCAGAAGTTGTTTGAGAACCTTTTATTCTGCAGAGCTGGATGCCTTGAGTAGATCTTCTCCGAGCTGCTCCCATTTGTCACCTGAGCTGAGCTCAGTGTGTTCTCAGGCTTTTGCCCCCCTTCCCCTCAGAGGTCACTGCAGTTCCAGTGTGGGTGCCCAGGAGCATCTCCACATTAAAGCTTTTAAATCCCTTGGGTACCTGGGTGAACCTGGGTCTTGAGCTTGGTGCTGAGTACCACTGCATGAAAGAACTATCACAGGAGAGAACAACAGGATATGAGATTATTGTTTGATTTCAACCAGAAAGACTTAATCATTCATACAGATTTTGTTATTGTAGCCTTCCATTCTAGTTTGGCAATTCCCAAGCCCTCTGTATGTTCTAGGTACTTCAAGTTCAGTGTGCAAATGTTCTGCTTTGGTGCAGAAAGGAGTGTAAAGATACCCAAGGTAGTTTTGAGCTGTTGAGAAATAGGGTAAGTTACATCTGTCCATACCCAGGTTTCTTGAGGTATTATGTCTGTTACTGTAGCACTGCAGGTGGGTACAGGATTTGTCAACTTGGATTCTGAGCTGAGATGTTGTAGTTGCTGACAAACTGGTGTTGCTTTAGCTCCTGGAGTTGGTTTGTCATTCAGGAGGCATTCTGTGTCCATTGTGACATCTTTTCTGTGAAAACTGGTTTAAACTGAAGAGAAAACCGAGTGAGCCAGCCATCCATCTGCTTGGCTGCTGGTGCCCGTGGGAATAACACGTTTTCCTTCATGGATCCGAGGTTTCAAATTAGGCATCAACTCTCACACTTAGGATTATTTCACAGCACTGGAAATGTGCTGAGGAAACGCAGTACCTTAAATGCACAGCATTGGATTCGAGTCTTCCTTCTACTGTAGCAGTTGTGGTACTGGATATCATTGCTATTGAGAGTGTTTGACAAATGAAGAACTGCACTGCAACTCAAATAACATGTACAGAGATGAATATGTCAAACTAATAGATGTATCTGATGAGATACTAAAAGAAAGGCACTGAACCTAGTGTTGGATGATGACACAGAGATGGAGTGGCTTCCCCAGAACAGGTCATTCTTGTTACTGCAATTCGAGTGGGTATCAGCCCTTTTGGATGGCAGAGCTGAACTGCCCAAAAGCTGGTCCCCTGTGGTAGTCATGGGCCTAAAATACAGGGTGCTGTTAAACTCCTCCCAAAAAACCCAACCACAAACCAAACCCAGACCAACCTTGCAGGACAGCATGATTTGAAAGGGCTGCACGCTGTGCCTCGGGGCTCAGCCAGCTCGGGTGGTAGCAGATTAGGTAAAGGAGATCATAAAGTAAAAGGGATTCTGGTAGATTACTCAGCTCTGCTGGGCCTTACTGCAGGTGGAGGATGATCTTACCTAGCAGGCCATGACAGAGGGAAGGTGGTTTCAATACTGAAATGGACTGTTTGGGACTTCTGATTGCTCTTTCTGGATTCTTTTCCTGGCAGCTGATGCTAACTTCACTTTTCCATGGGGTACCCGCTAGTCTCTGCAGGGCTGTATTCAGATGCCAGCTGGACAGTCAGCTGCCAGTTGGATTTTTACCTTTTTTCAAGATGTGGCTGCTCCCACGATGTGTGGCAGTGGTGGGACCTCAGTCATGCTTATGGGCTGCAGGAGCAAACACACTGTAACACGTTACTGGCTTGTCTGCAGTAGGAAACAGTTTACAAGGGGTAATCTGGGTTCAAGAGAAACCTGTCCAAGATGATTAAAGCTGCTCTCCCCTTCCCTTCTGTTTTCCCTGGGCTCCTGTGGTGTGGGAAGTGGCACGGTGACTCTTGTGGCTTTGCTTAGTATGCTCATGGTGTGGGGAGCATCTTTCTGATTTGCAAGAACGTTTTACCCAATTTTATTTTCTGTTCAAGTGGTAAATTCAATTCCAATCAGCAGCTTGGACAGGAGCCACACTGTTGCAGATTTATGTAAAAGTATAGCTTTAAGTCTACATGCCTTTAGTTATGGACAGATGCTATGGATGAACTGTTCAGAGGGTGAAATTTGCTTGTCAATAAAACAAAACACTCTACTTGCTTATAGTTTTTTATTAAAACAAGTGGTGGGGCCCACGTCTCCCTCACAAAGCTTAGAAGTTTGTCTTGATGGAGGTTACCTTCAGCTTCAGGTGACACTTTATTGAGCTGCTGTCAGAACCCAGTTCAGCCTTTTTTTTTTTTTCCCAAATAGAATATGGTGAAGTCCAGGCAGCATCACTGTTGTTGGTCTGTCTTGAAACAGGATGGAATTGGTTTTGAACTACCTCTTTGGGCACAACCAAAGACTTTGTACCGAAGTTTATTCTCTGGATACCTAAATTTGAGCACGTAGGCACCATTCAGTAGCTTAGTCACTGCCTCAGGTAACAGGGCCTTGCCACAGAGGACTGGTCACGTTTGTTCTTTCTCCAGGGCAGGGGAAAGAGTAACGGGAATGCTTCTGTGTATTATAGGGGAAGAGGCTTCTCCAGAGTGAGAGCTGCTTATTGAGCACAGTGAGTGCCAGGGCACACTGACTGCTCACCGTCTGCAGGGCTCCTTCAGGAACTGCTGCTGCCCCCTGTGCAAACTGATGGCTGAGGAGTTGGGCTTTGGGTTTTGCTTGGTTTTTTTTATTTAGTTGTAGGAACAAACACAGCTTAATAAAGTTCTGTGTATAAAGATGATTATGGGCTGAATGAATTTGCATGCTCTCACCTCAGCGTAAACAGGAGAGATTATTGCAGCAGTTGGTTCTCCTGTGCTTCAGCACAGTGATTCTAATGTGAGTGAGCCCTGTGTCATCCCTTCAGCCCACAGCAGTTTCACCTCCTTGCAAGGGCTGACTTTGTGCTTTATTTGTCCTGGCCATCCAAAGATGTTAAATAAATCTCAGCACTGCCCTGCAGTTGGTCTTTGGAGGAAAATATTCTTTCTGCTTTTGTTCATTTGCTTATCTTTGCCTGCAAATAACAAATAATTCCCGTTGGTGCCAGTTCTCCCGTTGTGTTTGTTCTCTTGAAAGAAATCCCACCTGTAGGCTAAAGTTGTTGTTCTGCACTTGTGTCACACCTGTCGAAGTTGCAGTAAGTATTGCACTGGCACATATGCATCCTCCTTCAGCTTTGGAGTTGGGTCCCTTGGGTCCCTCACCTCTGAGTCTTGTTTGGGGAAGAGAGAGATTGCATGTTTCATTTAGTCTTCCAGCTTACCAGTTTATTGCAAGACCTGTCCTGTGGCTGCTGGTTCTCCTTGGATCAAGAACATACTGCAAATCCTGTGTGCCTTCCTGGCAGCACAGGAACCAGAAGTACTGAAAGGGTGGAAATGACATTTGTCAGTGAATTATGGCAGCCTTACATGGGCAGGATTACCTGTGGACAGGCAGCAATTGCAGGGCTGTTTGTGTTATTCTGTGTGTGTAGCTTATTTAGTCAAGCATGTGGTGGAGGGATTTTTGGACAGTACGTTTGCACTATGAAGAAATGAGCAGATAAATGTATTTGATTTCTGGTGATTGCCATCCCAGTTTCAGTATTTTGTTTCTGGCCAGTGTGTACACGAGTGCCTTGAGCCATAAGTTCTCATTAAGACACTTTCCCAGTGGCTGCTCAGGCTGGTCTAAGAATGTGGCTCGTTTCAGTCAAGTGAGAAGAGCACTCAGGTTCTTCTTTTTTAGCTGTTATTAATTTTTTTTCTTGAGTATGTACTGAAGAAAGGGGGAAATACACTTTTTATAGAGCATGTGTGTTGATGGGGTTTCCCTTGGTGCCTGGTAAGTCATGAAGATACAGTTCTTTGTAAGTTTGGCCTGTGTAAATTGTTGAGGGTGATGCCCTGAAGTTTGGCTTAAATTTCACTGGTACTTTTACCTCCAAACCCCTTGGGCCTGCTAAGACTTGGGTTCTTGACTTTAGGGAGGTGCTTTACTAATTGGGACACGTGGAGATTTTAATCTTTTGGAAACCTGGTTTCATGGCGCCCATGCTGCTATCAAGGAGTACCTGCTGTTTTATTTTACTGCCTTTTAATGACCTGGGAGACCTGAACAGTTCATTAAGCCTCTGCTATCCCTACTGGGATCTCTGAAGAGAGAATGAAATAATACTGAGACAGGTGAGGAACTGTAGAGGCATCCTGTAAAATCCTGTGACTGTGTGCTGCAAATCGATAGTACTGTCACTGGAAACGTGGAAGAGGGCACGGCGCTCCTGTCTGTGAGCATTTAAACCAACTTCTGTTTGAAGTCGGTAGGGAAGAACTGGCTGTGTGAGATCATTGCATACCTGCCTCTTCCAGATTTTCTGAAAGGTTTTGGCAGCCCTTCCTGAAATAGGACAGCTTCCAGTGAAGAAAAGATGTAGTGTGATACAGATCTCTTGGAGTGTAATGACTTGTCACAGATTATTATGTTTTGTCCCTGGGGCATTTTCAGTGTTCCTTGAGGTATGCCAGCAATTTGTTAACAAATGTACTTTGCTTATTGCATTCATAAGAATGTGTGGTGGCTATCATCTGCTTTTTAATAGGGTCTTAAAAAAACCCATGATGAAGCTCCATCCTTGTGTGTTCTTTCAAGGACTTGTGGTGAAGATCCTGTCACCAATTTTGTGTGTTCATCATCTGCTTGGGGGGCAGGGGAGGAAAAAAAAGAACAGTCTCACCTGTAGAAAGTGAGATGTCCTTGTTCTTTTAAGGCTGGTTTCTCACTAAAATTCCCATGTGCTGCCATTGCTGTAGTATGAGTCATGTTGGGAAGATCCTTAAATTGCTCCTTTGTTCCCCATTTGAACATGCTGAGGGCTCAAACCTTTGGTGTCCCTTAGTATTCTTGACATTTGGTTTTGGATCTTATTGGCACAATTACTTGCCCTGGGGCTTCCTCTAAGGCACAACTAATACTGTGTTCCAGAGTCTTGGAAGGTTATATCGACAATTTTGGATAAGCCTAAAGTAAATTTGCTGATTTTTTTATCCCCAAGTTCATGATTTCTGTTTCAGGCCTTGCCTTCTGCCTTACTTATAAGATTGTGAGATTGTTGTTTCAGGTGTGGTTCCTGGATAACTGTCTTTGGGAACAGCTCTTGGTGTTGTCTTGTGTCTTGGATTGCTGGGTTGAGATTATTTTGACTGTCCAGTGAGTGTAAACTATTTGAGCTACATATTGGGGCTTTTTCCTTGTGAGTTCCATTATGATGCAGGATCTGACATGTTTGTGGCACTGCTCCTGTGTGTGTCTTACCTTTATTACAGGCCCTTCTTGAGCTGAGGTTAATCTCCCAATTTCACTTCACGTGCTTTATGTCCTGTCTGGCTGTAATTGCAAACAGTCCCTTGTATTGGCCCTTGGCATAGATTGACGGGTCAAGGTTATTTTGGTGAGAAACCAAAAATCTGTTTCTAGGATTATCTCTGAAGTTGGAAACTTGGGGGTTTGACTTGGTCTTCTTTGCCTGCTGCCTTGCCTACACATAAGTTTTTGGAGAGGGAAAGTAGGTTAAGCTTCAGTGTGAGAACTGGAGGGAATTTCATGATTGGAGACACTGGCAGTTTTAAGTGAGCTGGAAAAATAATGTGCTGGCTGCTGACAAGCCATCAAAATATCTTCCAGGCTACTGAAGATCATTTTGTGACATGGATGGTCTGCAAGACAGTGTGGATGGGTAGGAGAATAGCAGGTTGAACCAGGTGATCCACAGAAGTCCTTTCCAACTATTTCCAGTTATTGTATGACAAATGTGAAATGCAGTTTGGTTGGACAAATACTACCTCAGACTTCAGTCATCTCTGAGGACTGAGGATTTCCCTCCCCAGTCTTCAGAGAATGTGAATCCAACTCACACAATTGCTTCAGAATATTGGTGCTCCCATCTTCATGTTACAGATGTGACAGTGACCTTTTGAAGCAGGTGTGCTTTAAGAGGAAGGACTGGTACCAGCTGCCTTAAGAAAGTGTGTTCCTGTCTCCTTTGCAGCGCTGTAGAACTCAGATTTTTAAATGTTCTTCAGGTTATTGCCAGAGGCTTAAGTAAATGGTGCAAGAGGTTTTTAACAGGGTTCTTGCTTGGTTGTTTGAGGTTTGTTTTTTTTTAAGCACTCGTTCTGTAAGGGACTTTGTATCCCTGCTCATCAAAGTAATACATGAACTGACTGAAATCTTTTTGTTTACTTGAGTGAGGGTTGGGAGGGTGTCCTGAATTGGTGGGTAGTTTCTAGTGAATTAAGCCCCTGTTCACAGAATTGTTTCAATTCTAATATCTCCGTGTTCATCCTGTTATGGGGAAGTTGTGACATATGGAAGTTGTATGGAAGTTGTGATCCTCAAACTCAGGTGACTGTTTTTGATTGCAGCGTTTGACACTGTGTACCAAAGAAATGGTGATGGAGAAGCCAAGTCCCCTGCTCGTAGGGCGGGAGTTCGTCAGACAGTACTACACCCTGCTGAACAAAGCTCCTGACTTCCTGCACAGGTGACACTGCCACACTCTAAGGGACTAATGCTTTAGAACAACAGTCTGTACTGTTCATTGTACATTGATTTCTGAGTATGGGAGGGAATGGACCTGACTAACTCTAACTGAAAATTCCTTAGCCTTGCTGAGGCTTGGGGAGACTGGATAGACACTCGTGAGCTGAAAATTCCTGTTGCATTGAGCTCTACAATTTTTGACTAAAATACTTGTTGGGTTTGATTCTATTTTTTTTTCACTTCTATGACTTTCACGTCTCTACTTGCAGGTTTTATGGCAGGAATTCTTCTTATGTCCATGGAGGACTGGATGCCAGCGGGAAGCCACAAGAGGCAGTGTATGGTCAAGCTGTGAGTATCAAAATCAGTCATGTAATCCTCATTAATGTTCAGAATAAATCAGTTTTTTTCTTTTCCAGTGGCTTTGACTTTCTTATGTGGTAAATAATGTATTGTGGTACTGCTTTTGTTCAGAGACTAATAGGAATTTGGTAGCTTGACTTTTTTTGTTTGCTTATTTCTGCTTTTACTGAGGGTCATGTTTGATTCATCAACTTTGCATCTGGGCTGCAGAAAGTGCATTTGGGATGGGAAACAAAATGAAGAGGACCTGATAGACTTGTGCTGTTGATGTATCTTATTTTGGTTAGAAGTGGTTCCTTGAGAAAGGGACTGATTTTTGTGAATTGCAATAAATTCTTCTGTGGGTGCAGTTTTGCTCAAGTGGAATAAAACTTTTTGAAGAAGTGAAGTGAGGGTTGCTTTGGTTGTACCTCTTTATCACAGTAATGTTTGTCACCTAGTGACATCTGTTCATGTGGCAGCCACGTCTTTGAGCAGTGTGGCTTATTTAGCAGCACAAAAATCTTTGCAGTGCAGATGTTCCCCCCTCCTGTGACATTTGGGTACTTTGACAATGGATAGAGGGTTGGTTTGGGGTGGTTTTGTTGTTGGGGTTTTTTGGGGTTTTCTTTATATTTTAACACAAGATAAATCCTGTCTCTTTCACGGTCCCTTTAAAAAAAGCCATGAAAAATGTCATTGGTTTCAATGTGGCTGGAAAAATTGGATAGCAAGTTGTATCCTATTTGACTACTCTGAGAAGTGTTTGAATCCTAGTGGAAAAATTCAGATTAAAAGTTAAATGAGCTCAGGTAGACTCTTCTCAGTGAAAGACACTTCAGAGCTTCAGGGGAGTTCCTTTTTGTGTTCGTTCCAGCTCAGGTATTTCAAAGGTATTCAAAAGCTCTGTACAAAACTCCCTGTAGCTGAAGTGTGTGTCTGCATTTCTAGGAGATACACAAGAAGGTGATGTCCCTGCAGTTCAGCGAGTGCCACACCAAGATCCGTCACGTGGACGCTCACGCCACTCTGAGCGACGGCGTGGTCGTGCAGGTCATGGGGGAGCTGTCAAACAATGGGCAGCCCATGAGGAAGTTCATGCAGACTTTTGTGCTTGCTCCAGAAGTAAGTGTGTGTGAGATTGTGTTCAACTTCAAATAGTTATGATGGAAACCTGACCTGTAGCTACAATTTGTCACATTGGGACAAAAGAGATAGATGATCTGGCTTTAAAACTTGGTCTGGAGGCTGTCACTACATGTGTCACAGTTGGGCAGAAGTTACTGCCCAATTGTGTACTTAGGGAAGAGGTGCTGCTTGGGAAACAACTGTAGGGACATAGTCCTATTGGCAAATGTTGGTGTGTACCCACGGCTTATCTCTAATCCATCCATCCTGTGGGCTGCTAATAGTCTGTATTTGCTAAACACTGCATGTTGCTCTTTTACAGGGATCTGTTCCAAACAAGTTCTATGTCCATAATGATATCTTCAGATATGAAGATGAAGTATTTGGGGATTCAGAAGGAGAACTTGACGAAGGTGAGAAGGACTGAATGAGTAGAGTCTGTGTGGTTCTTGTTCCTCTTGCATGTGTGCACAGCTGTCTCCAGCTTCTTCTTTTTGTGAAAATCATAAGCAACCAAACCTCTTGAGTGAGAGGAAGGGTCTTCCATCTTTTCTTGCAGCTAATCTTACTTATTTCATGTTGATGAAATGTTTGATTGCTACTATTTTAATATGCTTTTATTTGAGTGCAGCTTGTGTACGCTTGCAGAAATGTATAAGGAAGTTTTTGGTTTTGTGTCAGAGTCTGAGGAAGAGGTGGAAGAAGAGCAGGAGGAAAGACAACCATCACCTGAACCTGTGCAAGAGAATGCAAGCAGTACTTACTATGAAAACCATCCTGTAACGTAAGAAGTCCTTTTTATTACATGACCTTGCTTTTTTAATAAAAATGACCAAATTGCTTTGGCTTTGGATTCTGTATGTGATTTAACAGGTAGTTCAGGAAAATACACTTGATACAGGGATGTGTGTTATGTTAGTGTTACATTATTTTGAAACATTGCTGCTTTATTGGAGAGAGGAAATGGAGGGTGTTCTTATGTTTGTTAATTATTTTCTGGTTTCAAAAGAGAGGTGAAAAGGTAGCAACCACGTGTATGTACACACTTAATGGGATCAAGGTTGTTCAGATATGATATAGTTAATGTGAGGAGTTGACAAAGGGTGGTTCCTCATAGAATCACAGAATACTTTGAGTTAGAAGGGACCTCTTAAAGGTCATCTAGTCCAACCCCCCTGCGCTGAGCAGGAGTATTACTCCTCAAATTTGGGTATCACTTGAAACTGAGAGGAAGATCTACTTTTGGAGGAGCTGCTGTACAGCTGTATTGGATGAATAGGTCTCTGTCCTGTGTGTCTTCAAATCTGAACAAGTTTAAAGAAAAAAATTATGATTTTATTAGAAAAATACATTTTATTGCAAAAACCAAACACACAAATAACCCCCACAAACAAACACCACCAAACCATTGTGCTTTTTTTGAAATGTAGGAATGGCTTCATAAGGGCCAGAAATGATTTCCTGGTTCCCTTGTTAAAAAAACCAGTTATGACATCACTAGACAATGTCTGCTGAGTGCATCAATGATCTTTTTAATACCAGTTGTTACCGCAGCATGGCTTACAAAAAGTCATAAAATACAAAGCAGTTGAAAAGCTCATCAAGTGCATTTGATTATTCTAGCAATGGGATAGAGGAGGCACTGGAAGAATCATCTCATGAACCTGAGCCAGAATTGGAATCTGAAACAAAAACCGAGGAGCTGAAAGCTGAAGTAGAAGAAAAGACCCTCGAGGAGCTAGAAGAGAAGTCTCCGTCTCCACCTCCTGTAGAACCTGTTTCACTACCACAAGAACCACCAAAGGTTAGTTAAAAGTCATATCTGTGCTACTGGATGCAGATGGTAAAACAGATTTGCTTTTGAGCTTTGCCTTTTTGAGTGGCCATAGTGGTCCCCTCTCTTCAGTGTCATGCTGTATGAACAGCTAGACACGAGCCTTGAACGTGTAAAAATGTGAAGTTTCACTAAAAAAGGAAAAAATGGTATTTTTAAGTGCTGCTCATCACCTATTGTAAATTTTATACTCTGCTTGTAAAGTGTGTGTGTGTGGTTTCATGCATGCGTAGACGTTTTTAAATGTGGAGTTAACATATGTTAAGAAAACACCTGTAGCTACCACCACCAAAAATCTCCTACAGTGGGAACCACTGCTCCTCCTTGAAAAAAAACATAACACACTAACACATGCAAAATTGCTGGCACTGTGGGTTCAAAATGAGAATGGGGGCACTGACTGTCTCCTCTAGGGGCGAGATACCTAATGTTAAAAACCACAGTGCACACTGTGCATCATCTGCTGTGGTGACACCTGGGAGGTTTGGAAGTGCTGGGAGAGCCAGTGAAAGCTGGACCAGGTCATTTTCTAGCTCCAGCATGTCTCCCGTACTGTTTTTCCCAATTCTTTTTCTCTTTTGCATTTTCACTTGTAACTTCTGGCATCCACTGTCTTTCTTCGTGCAGAAGACACTTCCCACTCCAGGGTTTTCAGTCCTAGGTTTGGTTACATCCTGGAAAGCAGTGATCTGGGAATGCTGAGGGAACGGGGCTCACTCAGGTAGCACGGTACACACTTGTTCCACGCCATCGGAGTCCACAGCCAGCCAGAACTGCACATTCTCCTGTCTCTCCATTGTAATGCTCGCACAACAATGATTTAAAAGTCAGATGTGAACCAAAAGTGTATTTTCAGCAGACGAGTTTCCCTGTAGGAATGTCAGTGGTTTGCCATGATTAGTAGCCTAGGTTTGTTGCATTTCCTGCAGGCTTTCTCTTGGGCTTCAGTGACCAGTAAAAACCTGCCTCCTAGTGGTACTGTTTCTTCCTCTGGAATTCCACCCCATGTTAAAGCACCAGTCTCACAGGTAACCCATCTGTGAACACCTTGGATTGTCTCATTACTTCTGCAAACTGCTTCAGTTTTTTAAATTAACAGATCAACTTGTTTGACTTAAATTGCACAAATTAATTGTGTCTTAAATGTTAATGCACTCACCTCCTTGTCGCAAGCGAAGGCACGTGCACGTAACAGGTGTAACTTTGGGTGGTGGCATTGTTAAAATTGTTCATAGGGAATCATGAATAGGAGTTGCTACTGAAGGGCTTTTTTACCTGTGTTAATGGGATATGGTTTGGTTTACAGGGGGAAACAAAACACCAGTTCCCCACAAAATGTTAGTTTTCTGAAGTATGTTTAAAAAGGGCCTTGGTGGAACTGCCCCAGCAGTAAAAAGGGATAGCACCATTTCTGAGGTGCAAGATTGCCTTGCAAGGCTAACATCCACAGAAATATGCTGGATTTCATTACCCATGTGTAATTAGCTTGTCACAGAACCCTGTACCAACTTATGACTGTGTAAGGAATGGAAGGATTCACATTTCCTTGCCAGGACAATGCTATCTTCCCATTCCTATGATGCCTGGGTGAGGAGGGGAAAGAGGAAAGAAAGTTTGACCGGGTGACAGCTCATGTTCTGCACATGCCAAGTTGATGTGAGACACAGAGACTCTCAATTCAGCTTCCTCCTGAAATATAAAAATCCTGAAAACATATGTCCTTTAACCTCTGGTCCTGGCACTGTGTGCCTGAGCGCTGTATGTCATGGTAGCTCATGTCCAACCTTTTTAAAAGACTCCAGTTTTCAGTAGAGCAGCTGGGTTACTGCAGCTGTTGGTTTTGCACTGGTTTCTTCTCAATTTTTTACTGACAGAGAGGAACCTGTCTGGGATTAGCTTTCAGCCAAAAATGCATGTTAAAAAAGAAAACAGGAAAAACAAAACAAAAAACCCAAACAAACTCCAGCACCTTGTATGGTGTTGCTTTTGGGTTTTCTGGGACTGTGGTGGACATCAGATAATGGCTGTGTAATGAGTTGGGAAGCCTGTCTGTCTTCATCAGCCTGAACGGGGCTTTGAACACTTAGGTGGTATTTAACCTGTAAAAACTGGGGGGTTTGTAGTACAGAATAGATTTTCCTTATGCAAAACCAAAATGAGTTTTAATTTATTTGCAATAGAGAGGGTGGATTTTTGTAATGTGCCTGCAAAAATCATTTCGAATGATGTGTGCCAGAGAGCAGAAGAGAGCTTACAGATGTCCCTTAGACACGTTGTGTCTGCTGCTTGTCCTGCTTTGTGCCTTTTAGATGACTTGTGTTGTGACTTTATGTTCAAGTAGTCCTGTGTGGAAGCTTCTGAACAATACTGACATGGCAGGCATTTCAACTCTCAGCTCTTCTGCAGCCAGCACTACTCAGTTCTGAGCTCCTTTTCTTGCACACGTTTCAGAAATGGGACACAGAAGTCTGGTAGGAAAGGCACCTGAACCATTTCTGCAAGGGGCTGCAAATCAGGAGCAGATTTTTCCTGTTCTCATGGATCCATTAGTGCCAGACAGTGTGCATGTAAACGAGGACAGAAGATGCACTGCTGGGTGGGTGGCTCCTTTGGAATGCTGTTCTAGCTGGTATCAGGGATGTTACAAAGCAGTTGTTAACTGCTCATTCCTTTCTCTGCATCATTCCAGTTCCCCCCCCTCTTCTATCAAGTTAAAAATACAGCCCCAGTAGTGTTAACTGAGAACCCCTCCAAGGACTGCACACGTACTGTTCTGGATATAAACCAGTTCAGTTCTGTTTATTTACAGCTGTGGAGTGAAACAGGTCGGCATTTCTTGTCCTTTTTCTAATTGTGGATGATTAGAAATCAACCTGCCTGCATTCATAAATGGGGACTTTGCTTTATAGCATTTTCAGGTATTTTTATCTCCCATTTTTATTAACACACCAGCTATCATAGGGGTGCAGAGGGGCAGAGGCAGGCAGGGTGCTCCCTGATTCTTGTCTTCTGGCTCAGAAGGGGTGAGTCCCTTTCCCTCCTCACGTGAGCTCCTGAAGAGAAGAGACAATGTCACCTTTTCCTTCCTTGTTGTCAAAGCTCCATCAAGCAGAGGTTTGTGGCACTTGGCTCCTTTAGTAGCTGTCCGTAGAAATCCTTCCTGGGTGTCTTTGAGTGTACTCTGTGCTGGCAGATGGGAGTTGCAGTTGGCTGCTGCTTGGGCTGTGAGTGGCAGCCCTGATCAGGGATCTTGGGATGCTGCTAATAATGGCAGGGGTTTGGGGAGCACAGTTTGGCACCAGGGAGCACTGAGGCAGTCTTCCTCTGTAGAAAAGGATGATGCTGATTAGAAAACAACTAATGAGATTAGCTGTTTGTGTGCTAGATGAGAAGTTCGGTGGAATGCAAAGCAAGCAGGTACAAGTTAACTGTTACTCAGGATTTAATAGGAGGACACTAAGTATCTGAGGAATGGGAGTCTGAATGTATTAAATTTTGCTTTTGAGGTATAATTTATAATACATTAAAGATGTGTGAGTAAAAGATGGCAGAGGAGCTCCAGTGACCCATGAGGGAATATAATGGAACAAGATTTAACAGGAAGGCTGATTTTTCTAGCTTATTCTTGGAATTGAAAAAGTGATCCTAGAAGCATTTTAAAGACAGAATAAGGCTTAGCTGTGTACAGCACAAGCGATAGGAGGGCTGAAGCATTCATTTGGTGTGTAATACCTGCGTGTTTCCTGTAAAATCCAGCCTTTTTTCCCCTGGGAGGTCCTGTCTGGCTGGAACTGCCAGTTGTCTTGAGTGCTGAAAGGAAAATAAGGGAGATGTTTAACATAAACTACTTCTCCCCAGCAGTGTGGGCCTATAGCTGTTCCCCTTGTGTTTCATCTTACTTGCAGGCTAGTCCTGTATTTTTATGCTCCTTTGTTTTTCTAAGATAAGAACCCAGCGCAGCAGCAGCTGCTTAACTGTTGTACAGAAAATGGTATTTAAAAACTGTTGAGAATTGCTTCAGTGACCAGCAGTCTGCATAAAAATATTTTTTATTGTTCTGTCTCTATTTCTCAAATTATCTCTAGAAGCATTTTTTCCTGGCAAAATATAAATGGAATAGGTGTTGTAGTACCCAAATATGAAGGGTGTACTTTGAGCATCGTGGTCTTGACATCAGCAAAGTTGAACAGTATCCTCAGCAGGGTAATCACTTCAGGTGGCTTTATTGTATCAGAAATACTTATTACACTTCCAAGGGCTTTTCTTTCGTTCTTCTCTTTCTAGTGGGTAGTTTTCATATAGTTGTTCTACACCGAAGGAAGAGAATTCCTCAGGAACTTGGACAGAAAATGTGGTTTTCCCATCTCTTGGTGTTCATCTTGGACTGCCTCCTATCTGTGAAATTTGAGCTTGGCATGAGGAAGCTTTATGTCCTCTGTGATTTAAGTCAGGTTGAGGGATTTGTGAATAATGGAGCATTGGGGTCTCAATGCCTGGTCAAACATGGAAAATTCACCTTAGCCATGTTCTGGGGAGATGCTCTGGTGGAGAGATGTTTGCTTTGCACCTTTTAACAGAGATAACTGAACACTGCAGTCCTGGATTGGTACAGAGGAATTTATAGAGGTGAAAAAAACATATTCCCAAACACATTGACATGGATGTATATCTTCTGGAATTCATTTTGTGCATGCCCCTTACCTATGCCTTGCGTTGGGGGGGGTTTGTTTTGGTGAGTTTGGGGGTTTGGGTTGGTTTTTGTTGGGTCAGTGTTAAATAATGCACCTTCTCCTGTTTTAGCCAAGAGTGGAAACTAAACCTGAAGCTCAGTCTCAACCTCCTCGTGTTCGTGAACAGCGTCCCAGGGAAAGACCAGGTTTTCCACCCCGAGGACCTCGACCAGGTAATGTGGATTCAGCTTGGACTAATGTGTCTGCTTGGGACTAGTTAATGAGAGGTGTCTCCTGGACAGGCCTGTGTTGTATTTGGCTGATAATTAACTGCCTGTTCCTGCTGCCTTCCACTAGAAATGAGGGAATGTGATTTGGAGTCCAGGCTGGTTTGAGTGAGTGTGCTTGGGGCTGTCCGTAGATGTGTTCATCTGAGGTTATGCACATCTTCTAACCCCAGTGGTTCTACCTTCCTTCTGTTGGCCACAGGGAGAGGGGACATGGAACAGAACGAGTCGGATAATCGTCGGATAATCCGCTATCCGGACAGCCACCAGCTCTTTGTGGGGAACTTGCCGCATGATATCGATGAGAGTGAACTGAAAGAGTTCTTCATGAGTAAGTAGTGATTTCAGCTGCAGAGACTGAGACAAAAAGCTGTGTTAAAAAGGCACATAGCAGTGACTTAGGGCCACACGGGGAGGCCTTTACACAGTGCAGCACTGCAGAGGTCTGGAACAAGCAGAGCAGTCATACAACTGGCACTGTGGGTTTTGGTAAAGTGCCTCTTCCTTTGTGTTTTCCTAGGCTTTGGAAATGTGGTAGAACTTCGCATAAATACTAAAGGAGTGGGAGGAAAACTGCCTAATTTTGGTTTCGTGGTATTTGATGATTCTGAGCCGGTCCAGCGAATTTTAGTTGCGAAAGTAAGTATTGGCATTGAGTTGCCTCTTCCAGGGATGGACTGAGTGCCTGAAACCCCAAGTAACGTGGGCCATTCTAGTTTGTATTGCTGTTGGGTCTGGTATTCGAAAAAGAGCAGTAAGAAAACCAAAGTTTTGTCATTCTCATTGTGTCAGAAGTGCTGTGTAGCTCACAAAAGCTGTGCCAGTGTTCCTCAAACCGCATCATATGAATTTGGGTCTCTTACCTCCACACATAGACACCACACTGAGCTCAGCGCTTGCTCTTAGAGATCCTTTTGAGATGAAAGTGGAGCAGGTAACCCTTCAAAGGGTATCACCTGGATGTCTTGAGTTCTGCACTCTGGGTCTGAGAGAAAGGAGCAGAGTTATTTGCAGTTTTCACTGGAGGAACTGGAGAGGAGAAAGCAGCAGTTTTCGTTTCTATGATGTGATAGTGAGACCTGGTAGAGAATTCTTCAGGAAGCTTAACCCTAAAGTGAAAAGGCTAAAGCTGGATGTGAAAGAGGCTAAAGACAGCCCTGCTTTTACTTGAGACAAACACTTTATTCCTTGCATGCCAAGTGAATGTAAAAGTGGTGTTGTGCAGGGCTCAGGCTGCGTGCTGCAGGGAACCTTTCCCGGGTGCTGTTTGTGCCGGGCACGAGGCGTGCAGCCAAGGCAGAGCTCTCGCGTGCCTCGTGTCGGTGGCCTGTGTGACGTGGTGACTAACGTGTGCCTTGACCCCTTTTCCCCATAAGCCCATTATGTTCCGGGGCGAGGTGCGCCTGAACGTGGAAGAGAAAAAAACCAGAGCTGCTCGGGAGCGAGAGACCCGCGGCGGGGGCGACGACCGCAGGGATCTCCGCCGCAATGAGAGAGGCCCCGGCGGGCCCCGTGGAATCGTGGGGGGCGGCATGATGAGAGACCGGGACGGAAGAGGACCTCCCCCCAGGGGGGGCATGGCACAGAAACTCGGCTCTGGACGAGGAACCGGGCAGATGGAAGGCCGTTTCACTGGACAGCGCCGCTGAAGTCTCCACTGGGGGCAGACAGTCTTGTCAGTGGTACATTATCCATCGTGTTTGCATTCTTGTTAATTTTTTTTGGCTTTGGAATGTGACACAGCCCTTCTGATCATTTCTTTGATGTGAAAGCATCCTTTGGTTTCCAGTTTGAATTGAGGTGGACGTTCTTTCCCCAGTTTCACAACAGGAGTCACACCGTTAATTTATAAATGTAGACTTGGAGAATTGAGGACTGAAAAAAAGAAAAGAAAAAAAAAGAAAAGAGAAAAAGACCGGTTAACTATCTGCAACAAAAGTGAACTAAAGGACACGCCCAGTAGCTTTCAGGTCCTTCCAATCAAAAACCTTCTGCTGCACATTTTGTGTAAGTGTTGCCGTTTCTGCCTACTCCTGTTGGAAACACAAATAGTGCAATTTGTGCAATTGGAGAAGCTTGCCTTTTTTTTTTCCTTCTTAGAACACTCGGCTCCAAACCAACTCGTGTTTACGCACTCATCAAAATGCACTAATGGGTCCTCTGAACTCATTCATACTGACAGCTGCGGGAGGCATCGGAGGGAAAGCCTTCATCCTCTTACTCAGACAGAATAGCTTGGGGAACGGTGCGGGCGTCCGCTCTGCTTGCTGTGACCAACCTCTGAACACACACAAACCTTAACAAGACTACACCCTTGTTCCAGAAGGAATCCATTTAGCTGTAAACTAAACAGAACCCAGAGTTTCCAAGTCGTAGCCCTGAGTACGCAACAAGTTTGATAGCTCACGTCAGATTTTTCTATCTGCCCCTCTTCAGTGCAGGGATGGCTGCTCAACACACTCCTCCTTCCCCTTTCCCCTTCGAGAAGCGTTGTACAGTGAAACTTGTCTTGACTGTATTTGAGTTCTCTGGTAATGTAATAAGCATGATGGTGCCTTCTATGAATACATCATTCCAGTCTTGCTGGTGATTTTGTACAGTATAGTGTATGAATTACTGTGCTGCAAAGCCAAGTGGCTGCAAAGCATTTAAAGGAAATAATTGGAAAATTGTATTAAAAAAAAAATTGCAGTATCTTTCAATGAGTAAACGTTGCTAAAATGATCATCCACCTTGCTCTTCAATTAACAAGTTCGCCTGTGTTTTTGCAGAGGGGGGAAGGGAGGAAGAAGGCATCCAAGTAGACTCCAGGTTGTCTCTTCTCTTTAATCAGTATCAGAGTTAAAGGAAGCAGAGTTGCAATCTCTCTTGGACATGAATTGCAGAAGTCAGTCCAGAACGGTGGACGCTTCTGGCCAGCTCCTAGTGGGTAGACCTGAGCATCCTTTGTGAAGATGAGCTTCTAAAACGGGGATACTGCAATTTTCAGAGAACTAAACAGCAGCTCTTAAGTTCTTGCATTTTCCAGTTGCACTTTTTTAAAAACTCGTACTCATGTTGCACATAACTCTCAGCTGAAGTTGGCACTGATGTGGCTCTGGAGCGAAGGATAGCAAGGAGACCTCCTCTTCTGCAGTTTGACCGGTGGGTTTTCCAGCAGAGAGCTGTGTTCCTGGCTGATGTGGAGCGCATTCCTGTAACCTGCAGCTGGAGCAGACAGTTCAGCTGGGCTCTGCCAGGGCACGCGGCCGGCGCCAGCTCCAAGGTGTCAGGAGCAAAGGGGGGGTGCGTCTGTGCGAAAGTGTGACCACTTGAAGCTGCTGCTGAGCACGGGAGACCTCAAATACAAAACTGGCAATTTCAAGCAAAAGCAGAGAGGGCATGCTAGCAATCTGTCTCTGGATTATGCAATCATTTGCTGGTTTCCAGTAAGCTGGAGGATTTTGCACATATTTTCTGTTACGCTAGGCAAGGTGGAGTGGCATCTGTCTGTTCTCTGCCAGACTTGAGGTCTTCTGTGTTCCATGGTAAGTCTTGCACTATTTTCATACGCTTTTTTTCCCGGGATGCATTTACCAGTTTGCATTTTCATATTTCAGTTTTTTTGTTGAAGGTCTCACAATTTCAGCTGTTACCTGGAAATCTGTAGTACTTGAACTGCTGGCCACACAACTCCACTCCTTAGGTTTGAAGCCCTCGGACAAATTGCTGTTACCAGTTAGCAATTTGCCACCAGTGTGGTTTGTGTAGCCTAGAGGTTATTTTTCCTTCTATAGTGCTGTGGTGTTTTGCTGCCACCTGATTCACTCGTACGGCAAATGGCACTGGAAATAATCAAGAACAAAAAGCGAGTAGTAAAAAGAGCCACTGAGCCATTCTGCTTTTTGGCTTGCTTCTTGTTTAAATGACACGAACCCTTGGAACATCATCCAGAGAAGTTTACATGGTGATAGCTCACCTGCTGTACTGTGGACTCTTATGTGTTCTCGACCCTCTCAATAGTAAATGTATCTCTTAGAGCAAAGGAAGGGATTCACTGACCATTACTGTTAGTTGCTGATTTGTGAATGGTGGGAGTATTTTGTCATTACGGTTCCATTTCAACAAACTTGGCTGACCATCTTGGCTTTAGTAGGTATTCAAGACAGTGGATTACCATCTTTATTGCTGTAACGTGTCAAGCATTATATGCTAGTAGATTCTAGTTTAATTGTTGCAGGTGGAAAGTATTTTTAAGTTTCCATTCTGAATGTGTTTTGACTAAACATACCAATAAACTACTGATGTCTGCAGCATTTATCCATGTCCCTAATTCTCTTGCATGCAGGTGCTGTGGAGCACTGTCACCCCTGGCTTACAGGAAAGCTTGTAAGAACATTGGTGCTGACCTGGCCAGTGACAGTGGGAACCCACAGTACCGTGGCCTCGTGAACCTTGAAGTATTTGACTTTGGTGGCTTCTCTCACCTCAGGGTGTGTGTGGTCCGGGAAGGTCACGAGCTCCTCTCAGAGGTGTCCCAGGTGGCATTCCTCCACACCCTGCCAGGCTGCAGCATCTGGCTACAGGATACAGCTTCCATGGATGTTGTGGTGGTGCTGGGAGGATTGTGAGCTGAGTTATCTTAAAAACATCAACTGGAATTGCTTGCTTTGCACTTTAGGGCTTCTTGCTCTTGATGGCGCAGAAGTGATTGTCCCTGTTTTGTCACTTCTTGTGTTTGTTAGCAGTTACCCAAAAAGGTTGGTAAAAGGGTTATTCTCACCCTGCTCATAGATGAGGTGTGGCTGAGTCATGGAATCTGGAGCTCTTCAGGGCATGTTTTGGCAGTAGCATTTCCTGATGAATGGCAGTTGGGAAGTGTCTGAAAAGTGGTGCAGTTGTGTGAGTTGAAACACTGGAATGGAAAACCAGGATCCCGTAGGAGCCCCAGATCTGGAGTCACCAAAAAGTCCTCAGAGGAGCAGCCTCGACAGCTACAAGATCTGCTGGCACCAAAGATGCCCGGAGGAGCACAATCCCCTGTGCCACTGCTGGGGGCCTGCAGCGTTCAGGCCTTGGGGCCTTGGCTTGTGAGGTAAATGGTGCAGACTTGTGTTCTCTGGGGCTGAGGGGGAGGGCAGGACATCATGGGATCTGAAACCAAACAAGGTCGGCCAGGGCCTGGTTTTAGTTGTGCCACAAAGTCTTGCATCTTTAAAGTTGTTCAGGAGCACCTTTTATCAGCACCGGAGTTGATGTTTAGGCCTGTAGTGGCAGTAAAATGTGAGGAAATGCCGGGGCAGCTGAGGGATGCGACAAAACAGCGACCTGCTCTGTGCTGCTGAGGCCTTGCCTGTTCCCTTGGCAGTGCCCATGCTCAGGCCCAGTTAGAGAGTCCTGTGGTTTCACAAACGCCTTTGTGGTGCATTTCATGTGGAGAAATACAGCATGGAAAAGTGATTTATTGGATAGTGGAGCACTAAGGACCAGGGGGTGCCCTGCAGCCTGCACAGCCAGCGAGTCCCAAAGTGTAGCTACACAAGTGCTGCTCTTGGCAACGTGTGGTCAGCACATGTGTCCTGACGGACCAAGGACAAACTCAGAGCTCTCGTGTCACCTCTTGGCCACTGTGACCTGCCAGCATGGAGTGGGTGTGCTCTGCCTGGAGTGCACGTGAGGGAGGTGAGGGGTCTGTTTGGGATACAGGGTGGGTGATTGTTTCCATGGTCAGGACCAAGTCTGCTCTCTGGCTCAGGGCCCCTCAGCAAAGAGGAGAAACAAGAAGAGTGTCTCTCGCAGCACATGCAGCGAGAGCTTCCCCGGGCAGGAGGAAGCGCCTGGCCTTTCCCTGGCGCATCTGCTGCTCTGCTCCTGCAGGCGGCACGCGGGCAGCGCTGGGCCGGGGTCGGGGACAGATGGGCTGTGCTCAGCAGGCATAGGATCGGGCGGAATTCCTATGGAATCCCTGTGGTACTCGCAGTACCGGTTGGGATTCCATTCCCGCCCCTGCAGTACCGGCTGCAACTCGCCAGGCGGCGCCCTCGCGGCTCGCGCCGCCCGCGGCACCGCTCGGAGCTCGCCAGGGGGCGCTGCCGCCCCAGCGCCGCAGCTCCGCCTTGGGCATGCGCAGTGCGCGGCCGCGGCCCGGCGGGAGCTTTGGTGTGTGCGGGCCGGGAGGGGCCGGCGAGTGCCGGGGCTGTGCGGGGAGGGGCCGGGGCTGTGCGGGGAGGGACCGGGGAGTGCCCGGGGCTGTGCGGGGAGGGACCGGGGAGTGCCGGGGCTGTGCGGGGAGGGGCCGGTGACTGCCGGGGCTGTGCGGGGAGGGGCCGGCGCTGCCCGGGCCGGGTGTGGGCGCGGGTGCGGGCGCGGGTGCGTGTCTGGGCTGCCGCGCCGTGAGCCCGGGTGTCCGTGCCCGGTGGGGCCGTGTGTGCGCAGAGACCTTGGGGCACCCGCGGGACGGACGGTGCGGAGCTCGGCCCGGGCTCGGCCCGGGCTGTCCCGGCTGCGGCTCCGGCCGGGGGGACTCGATCGACCGCCCCTGGGCCGTACCGGGAGCTCGGCTGCGCTCGGGCCGGGGCCGCTCCCGGAGGGATGTGCGGCACGGCAGGGAAAGCGCCGGGAACTTTGTGGTGCGTACGCGAGTGTTTTCCCACTGTCTTTGCGCAGGTTCAACTCTACGGGAACTGCCCGGGGGGCTGCCGGCCAGAGCCCCCCGAGGATGGGGCTCCCCCCGAGCACGGGGCAACCGAGATGCTCCAGTTGATTTCAGCTCTGGCTATGAGATGTTTCAGTTCATTCCAGCTCTGACTCCGAGATGCTCCAGCTGATGGCTGCTCCAATTGGTTCAAGCAGTATCTCCAAGATGCTCCAGTTGATTTCAGCTCTGGCTTATTAAATGCTGCTTCTTGTTGCAAGCCAATTAAAGCTCTAGCTGCTTGGAGTGATTTGGGCTTTTGGCCAAGTTGTAAATCACTCACTGTCATCAAGTGTATATGAATATGAGCTGTCATAATTGTGCCTTGTTTCAATGTAATAACTATAGTAATTATTGTAGTAATTATTGTAATAACTATTCCGGTGTTTGTACAAACAAACAGTTGGACAGTTGGAAAAAGGGCTGGAACACTTTTTTCGGCCTGGTGCACGCCGGCATCCCGGAGTTTGGGGACCAATGCGACCAGACCCCCCCCTCCTCTGGAGAGGGTCCTTATGCCCAGCCCTCCCACCAAAGTCCCTGCCCAGGCCTCTCTTTTGGGGGCTGGAAACAGCTGGCTGAGCTGCTGGTTCCAGCCTCTAAAACAAGGCCCTGAGTGACTTTTCTGAGGCCCAGAAATGCAGCCCTGAGGCAAAGTCTGTATATGCCTATGTATCCAAGGGTACCAAATTACAAAGGATCCCTGTTAAATATGTCAGGCCTTGTATTAGCCCTCCCCTACAACAGAAGCAATCAAGCAGAAAAAATGAGTGAAGAAATTAGATTGAAAGAAACACAACCAACAACAGTAAAAGGAACACACCACACATTAAGAAACGTACTCTAAAAACACAAAAAAGAGGGGGAAAGAGGTGTGGATCCAGTCCCTATATGTGTAAATCTACATTAACACTTCTTCAAAACAGGAACAATCACAAAGAAGCGATAAATGATACAACAGAACCAAAAGAAACACACAAACAGTAACCAACACAAACCCAAACTCCATGATTCAAACACAATAAAGGGTTTAACAATGCACGTGTGAGGAGAGAATGAAACGGTGGCCACCGGAGTGTGAATGAGACAGTGGAGTGGACACAGGTCTGTGTGTTAACGCAAATACACTTTAGAGCCAGACATCTTAAACACTGCCTCAAACAAAAGCACCTCGAACACAACATCCACAACCCAGCACATTTCCCTTTTAAATAAAGATGATGCCATTACACAAAATCACCCTCAGATAAAAAGTTATACACAACTACAAACGCTGGGTAATTTGAGGGTGCTTGAATATTGCACGAACTGATAAAGTTGTAAACAGTTCAATAAAGGCCTTGTGACAACAGGCCCTGTTTTTTATAAATAGTTGAAATAAGATTGGTCATGATAAGAATGTTTAAAAATGTATTGTTTCGCAGCTTGTTAATTATATAGAGAGAGGGGAGATGTGGCAGGAAGAACGTGACAAGGAATCATGGGAGTTGTAGTTTTCCGGGTTCTCGCGCACGCTCAGACAATACTCGATTGTCATTGGGTGGGAGATCACGTGACATCTTTAAGCGCTGGATTTAAACCGAAGTGTTTGGAAATAAACCCCAATTATGCCCCCGGCACTTGGTTGTGTCACCGGCGGGGTCCGTGCCATAAACAACAGCTCCCTGGGGGACCCCACAGTGACAGTGTGTGCGGTGTGTGGAGTTCCCTCCCACCCCGGGACCCCACTCCTCTGGAGGGGGTCCCCCTGTCCTCCCTGCCCCCCATCCCCTGCCCCCCCGGCTCCCCCCGCCCGCGGAGCCCCCCGTGTGATGTCGGGACGGGCCGGAGCCCCAGCGGTACCGGGCGGTGCTTGGGAACTGCAGGGGGGGACCCGCCGAGCGGGCCCGGCCCCGGCCCTGGATCCCCGGGGGATCCCGAGGGGGCGCCGGCTCCGGCCCCGCAGCTTTATTAAAGCGGCGCTTTATTAAAGCGGGGGACAGGGGGACGGAGGGGACGGGCGGGGGGGGGCAAGGACGGAGCGGGGGTACGGGGGGGGTCGGGCTGTGCAGCGGAGCAGCGAGGGGAGAGCGGGGGGAGCCCGGGGGGCCGTGCTGGGCAGGGGGGCAGCGACAGGGGTCGGGGGGAGGCGGCGTGCGGGGACAGGCGGGGCGGAGGAGCGGGAAGGAGGGCTGGGGGGATCGGGGTGTGCAGCAGGGGACGGAGGGGGAGAGGGGCCAGGCGGCATGGGGGGCCAGGGAGGGCGGAGGACGGAGGGGCAGGAAGGAGGGCTGGGGGGGTCGGGCTGCCTCTGCGGGGCAGGGAGGGGGCGCAGGGGACGAGCGGGTTGGGGAGGGAGGGGGGGACTAGGGGGGAGAGGGAGGGGGAGCTTGGAGGGGGAGGGCGTGGGGGGGAGGGGGAGGAAGGGAGGGAACGAAAAAAAGAGGAAAAAGTGAAAGAAAGGTAAAAAGAAAAGCAAAGAAAAAGAGCCGCGGCAGCGCGAGGCCCCCGCGGCGCCGTTATCGCTCCGCGTTCTGCCGACTTAACAGGGGCGGGGGCGAGTTCCGGCCCTCAAATAACCTCGGGTCCTTAAATCACCTCCGCCCCGCCCCGCGCACCTGTGCGGGCCCCGCGGCGCTCAAAGCCG